ATAATCTATTATTTCACCGAATGAATATATATCGAAGTTTTTACTCTTGAAAACCATCTTATTGGCTACGAAACGCAAGCTTAAAATTTTACCGAAACCTTTTCTAAATAACCCGAAATTTCTTTTGAACATGGTAACAGGAGAGACAAAATATTGCACCACCTATCAAAAAATTGTTTCAATATATTCTTGTATGACATTATCAAGACTGCATCTTTTTATATGTTGTTCTATAAGTACTGTTTGTTTTGATTTGCTTATGACGAGGGTTGTTTGAATAAGTAACTTTAAATCATTTGCAATTTCAAAATTCGACATTTTTTGAAAATGACCCTTATAATGGGTTTTTTTAAGAACTTTTCGCAGAATAATGAAAACAAGCTATGAGATTTTCGCATACGTTTCAGTGATCAGTTCACTTGACACAAAAAAATGCATACATTGATTGCAGAATAAGTTATCAAACAGATGATACCATAAATTTTAAGGGATATTACTATAAACTTAATCATTGTACGCCCTTTAGGCGGCGTTTTGCATTTGCGCCGATTTTTTCTTTCATTTGCGCCGATTTTTCTTTTCATTTGCGCCGATTTTTTTACAGGTAAATTACAGGTAAATTACATTTCATTTATCATTATAGACCTCTTCCCTTAGCCAGTTGTACAAATATTATGAATTATCAATCATAACATGTATACAACTGTTGTCCTCTGCTCACCACGGGGAGGTTGGAGTAGGATTCGAGCAGGATAAGTCAATTTATAAACACTATAATGTTCACATACTTTAAAATCAAGAAGTAAAAACCTAAGATAAAAGCACTCTTTTTATACTCTGTTTGTACTAAAATGACGAATTAAAAATCTATTTGCAGCATTACAATCCATAAAAACGGAATACATTAAAATCATAAATCTGTTCTTGTCGAATTTTTATACACACAGAAGAAGAAGTATACTTAAATTATTTTCATTTACCTGTGTATAATATGACGCAGGTTTTTTCAAAAGTGATGATTTTCTAAATATTGTTTAACATTTCACAGTGGTATCATACTTTAACTTTGTTTAAACCTGTTTATTTGCTTTTGACCTTAATTATTTATCCCTTATGATAACATACGTAACGGCCTGGATTTTCTTAACTTCAACATAAGTGAACAACGTTTATAACCAGATTTTACCAATATAAATTCAAGGTATAGTACATGTACAAGTATTTACTCATCTGTGTAAAACTGTAAATGCAATGAGGAGCAAATATAAAATCGGCGCAAATGAAAAAATGAAATCGGCACAAATGAAAGAATGAAAATTTAAAAAATCGGCGCAAATGTCATACGCCCATTTTAGGGGATTTTCCTTAAAATTATATCAGATGACACAATCAAGCAATCAATATACATGTAATCAACGCTTTTTTTTTTTGGGGGGGGGGGGGGGGGGGGGCAATCATTTATTTTTAAGGCGGGTTATGGATTTTTATCTGAGTCGTGGGAAAAAATACTATAAGTATGGGGAAAATCTGGATTCAGGATATTTTTTAGTCATCTGCTTGACCACAATATTTTTTTTCATCAAATTGGTGATCAAAATATTTTTGAGGGAAAACCTTACACCCCCCTTTTTTAAAGTTAAATGGTCGTTCCCTAAGAAGAAGATACGGTAGGGACAATAAAAAACCATCACATAAATAAAAAGGCAGCACGATAATTATTAATCAGCTGCGCCCGTCGCTTTTTCAAAGAATAACATCCCATTCCTCCTATAAATGTCATATCCGAAATTTATATGTAATAGAGCTAAAGGGAGCTCACGTCAATAGAAATATAGCAGTCACCAAAGTTTCCTGAAAACTGCTCAAAGCAATTTTGAGTAATTGTCCGAAAACAAGAAAACCCCCCTTTTACAATGAATAACACTACATAACTCGGAAACGTAAAATCTAAAATTTATATAAATCGAAATGCATCTCAATAGATATAAATAATTCTTTAACGTTTCATTAAAGCATTTTTGGATTAATTTCTGAAAACTAGAAAATCCCCCTCAAAACTCGGAAACATACAATCTAAAAGTTATAAAAACGAAAGGGTGCTCACGTCAATAGATATAAACAATTCACCAATTGAAAGTTTCATGCAAATTGGTTAAAGAGTTTTTGAGTTATTGTACGTCATGTGGACGACAGACGGACGGACAGACAACGGTATACCGTAATACGTCCCGTAAAAGGGCATATAAAAAGAAAACGACATACATGCAAGCAGTGCACAACACACAACCTTAATTAAGATTGATCAATGGTAATCTAATACATTTCTAAAATTCTAAAAAGTTATTCATTCTTTATGTACTATCGGCAGTCTTGGATATTTTTCGTCGTCAGTTGCAGTGTCAAAACTATTCATGATTCAACATTCTATAATTTAGATTTTATTAACTAGCCTAGTGTATCTCCTAAATTGAATTCATGGTCAATTTTGAAGAAAAAAAAATTGATTCTGCAGGGGTGTTTGTTTGACGTTTCCCGCAGTCTGTCTGTCTCCCGAGTTAGTTGAAATGTTTCTCTTAAAACGTTTACCTATTGATTGATAGTCTTTAAATGTGTTGTTGACAATGTGGAATGGAAAATAAACAAGAATAAAGACATAGACCAATACCAAGGCATATAAGTATTTTCGATATACAATGCTACAGTAATGCTTGGTACATTCACGTAAGACAAAGCAGTGCTAGATTTGTACGCAGTAGCTGTGGCACATTCATAGAGCCAATAGGAGGATTTGTCATTTTGTTTTACCCGCCTGTGTTTCTGTCGTGGTCTGGTATTACCCGAAAATTATCATGCATGTACCATAGGACCAACGTGGCTGTCCAAATAGTTTTTTCTATTTGTGCTTTTTAAAACATTATTGTTCGAATAATTTTGACCATACACCGGTTTTAGAACTACCTTAAATTCATTGTTTGACATTTGCTTCTATTTCTTTTGCTTTGTTATAATTAAAAGACATATCAAACAACTTCTTTGAATAACACATTTGCAAAGAAATGTCAAATCAAATAACACGAAACATATATTAAATATTAAGCATTTAAATAGCAACAATAGTGTGGGGACAATTGATTCTTAGGGGTCTTTAATAAGACCACAATATTTATTGCCAATTAATTTAGTTTTGACATAATTTGCTTCGGGTGTTGATGTCTGTCATAAAATACTCGTGTATTTTATTTATTTTTGTTGAGCCAAAACAAGACAAATGTATTATATATATATGCTATATATCACGTACTGCAGCTGATATTATAGCTTCATCTATATTCAAACATCGCTGTAAAAATAAAATCTGTGTTCTTTCAAATACAAGAAGTTGAAGATGTGGTCATTATATATAGCTCTTCGAAGTATCAGTCGAGAAAGCAATGCACATCGATCACTTCATCAATAAAAACAAGTTATAAAATGAAAGGATATACGGTGGATGTACATGAGGCAATATTCCAAGAATAGTCCACATTCTGTTTTTAAATTGACAACATTAAAAAAATATATGTCCAGTAAAATTTTCAAACAACCGACAACATGGTCTTTGACGATGAACATGATCTCTAGACGCTATCCATTTACCGAATCTAGTTTTAGACAGTCATGTTATACGACAATTTTCAAAAAACAGGCATACATCGTAGTAGTCTCGAACTCATTATCATCTATTACTTGAAATGTACATGTAGATCTTGAAATCTTAAATAAACTAGAAAAACTGACGATGTCTGCAGGAGGGCTTACGCATAGTTTAAAAAATAATATGCTATCTGCATATTATATGAACGACGATCGGCAAAATTTCATTGGCCTGTCACCCATACGATCGGAGTGTGCGTTTTTACAAAAACTGTTTATATATTTTTTTTTTATTTCAAACATATAATCTTGACTTTGCTCTTTTGCAAAATATTTTGGCAAGGTTTTTTTCCTCGCGAAATGACAATGATAGGCACATTTACGAGCGACATTTACATATCAACCTCAGCAACTGTGCAAACTTTATATCCACCTTTTTTAGTGGTTATACTAACAAAAACAGCTAGCGAGCGGACAGAATGATGGACATAAAGACAGGCTAATTTTAACAGGCTGGCAGACGAGAGGACTGAGCATCGGATTGGATAGATAGGCAGACTGGAAGGCGGACAGAAGGAAGGAAAATCTAAAGACCTACATGCATATATAAATGTGTGGCCCTGAAATATGCATTTCTTTATTATTCACTCATAAAATAAAAGTTTACATAAACATTTTGTGGCCAGGTTATGTATTTTCATGGGTAATACGACTATATTTATATTCATATTTCCAACTAATGAGGACCAACTTATTTATTTCAAACTTATAGGGACCACTGAATATTTATTTCCAAAATTTACGCCCCCCCCCCCCCTTTCCAACAACAACACACTTTTGAATGCAAGGGGGAATAGGATACGACCGGATGACCGTGGTTTTTTTGGAGGGTTGAGGGTAAGAACTTAGATTATCAAATACTACTAACTAAAACATAAATTTTATAATCACTAGTAGTTTAATAGTCCGGCAGGGATGATTGCCGTACACCAAGGCTCTCATGATTTTGTATTTTATTCAATATTTTTTTCATTTCTTTCAGTGTTTTCTTTTTTCATAATTCCGCTCTGTACTTTGATGATCTCGAGTAAAGATAAGCCTTTTACACAGTCTAGTAATTTTGGGGGCCCTTTATAGCTTGCTGTAAGTCGGTGTGAGCCAATCTCATTGACACTCATACCACATCTTCTTATATCTATAAGTATAATCAAGGATTTGTTTTGCTATACAAATCTATTTGTCTAATATGTATACCAGTTTACATGCTCCTTCGTCGGAGAGATCTTTAGACACACAACATTCGTTTACAATATAAAGTTTTAACACAGGGTGCTCCAAAGTCAACGGAGGAAATTACGAACAACAACAAAAACAGCAACAAATATGGCGTTGCTCTCCTTTCTCCGCAATCTCCGCAATCAAAACAAAATGAAAAAATTGCGATATTTAGTCAACGCTAATCATGTATTACTACGACAGAAATGTTCATCGACATGCACGAATCAGAGATGTGGTATTAGTGAACCCAAAAAATTAGACTTGAAAGATGAAATTGAAAACTACATTAACAATCACAAATACACTTTGATTGCTGCTACAGCTGATGTTTGTAAACAAAAGTTTCAAGAACACTTGATTGGAAATACATTAGGGGAATCATTTACTAGCAGTAGTAGTATATGGCAATTTCCATGGAAGAGAACTGAAAAAGATAAACCATTTATATATGAAAATTCAGAAAATATATTTGCAAGAGGTTATGATGCACTTGAAGATTATTTACATGGTGAAAAAGTTGACCATCAGATGTGCGCTGCTTTCACAGCACTAGAAAGATTTTACACAAATAAAGGTAGCCTGATACCAAACTGCTGAAACACGCTTTAAAAATGACCGCAAACATTTCCTCCTTAGACATCTTCTTCATGGTAACAGTGAATTGATCCCTTTAGCCAATTGTTAGCCCTGTCAGCATTGGTCAACAAATCATGCTAGGTACATATCCCTCTTTCCAATTTGACTAAAGAATAAAAACAAACTAAGCTTACTATGTAATATAGCTATATAGCCCATGTAGGTTTTGTTCATTGTTGAAGGCTGTTCAGTGAATAATCAATTATAGTTGTTAACTTCCATGTACATTTGTAATTCTGTCTCTGGCAGAAAGTAGTATCATGTCCGTTCGCCCCCTTTCAAGTTTCCACCCTACAAGTTTGCATCATTGATAAGGGTTTTGTGTTGAATAAGATTTAAATTGTGCTTTAGTTAGTGTATTGCTATAAACATGATATAGTGAAGCAAATTAGTATTTTTATCGATTTATAGAAATAAAATAAAGTGACATTCTTAATACGTAAACAGGTTTTCTTTTCTGAATTATTTTGATGAAATGAAAAATGAATATTGTCATGCATGATGATAAAAGACTAACATGGCTAAGTCATTTGTCTCTAAGACTTGTAAAAAAAGGCTGAAGATTCCCAATGGCTATATCAACAAAAATGATCAACAGCATCAAGCTCACACAAACTGTTAGAAATAATCATCTTTTTCATTAAAAATCCTCATTGTTTTACTCCTACATTTGTATCTATTAGCGAACTACTCTTATCATGCTTATTTTAATTAAACACTAAACATTCTAAACACTTAACAATAATTCTAGATTAGCTTTGTAAATTCTAATTAACAGTTATCATGGTAATCTTAATGAAATAAACCACAAAACAAAATTTCATATAAAAAATTCATGATTTTATTCATGAAAATATAAATATTTTGATGTGTGTTTGTTTTTTCTACATTGGCTAGAGGTATAGGGGGAGGGTTGAGATCTCAAAAAAACATGTTTAACCCGCCGCATGTTTGCGCCTGTCCCAAGTCAGGAGCCTCTGGCCTTTGTTAGTCTTGTATGATTTTTAATTTTAGTTTCTTGTGTATATTTCGGAGTTTAGTATGACATCCATTATCACTGAAGTAGTATACATTTTTGTTTAGGGGCCAGCTGAAGCACGCCTCTGGGTGTGGGAGGTCTCGCTGCATTGAAGACCCATTGGTGGCCTTCGGCTATGAACACTGTGAAATTGATAAGAAATGTGAACATTGCACGATGAAAACTAACCCAATTAAAGCACATACAGTGAGTCAGGGTTATTGTTAATTGTATTACTTTAATACAATTTTTTATTTACTCATACAATGTCATACAGGTTAATTATTTTGGAGGTAGAGTTTTATCCCTTATATCATGTATATCTCTTAAAATAATGTCATACATGTAATTATGACTAGTATTTCAAGAATTTTTTTTCAGAACTCCATGAAAGAAATCTTGCTCAGCTAAACAGCATGAACCTGACAAAGACAGAAACTGCATCACTGATAACTAGTCACCTTCTTTCCCAACTCCTTTTTAATCCAGCAAATCATATTATAGATTCAAACTTCTCTGAAGGCCCACCATATGACTGCCGCGCTCCAGTACAATATGGATACACAAATTTTGGTAAGATATGTCATGTATGTACAAATAAACATGATAAAGAAAAGATGAGGGCAAAGCTGAATAAATTCAACAAAAACATGTAAAATCTCTTCAGATTTCGAATTCTTTTAACATGTGTTTAACGCTTGATTGCTGCAATTTTTTTTATACCTTAAAGCAAAACTGACAATGCAACTAAACATTGCTAGATGCAGAGCCAGAGGTATATATCAACAAATTCTTGGACAAGAATAACATTTTAGTGCTGTTCAATTATATTAAAGTAGTTATTCCCATTGGAAATATACATTCTACACCACATTCTATGGAAAATTGTATTGTAAGGGCTCTCATACAAACATTTCCTGTCAGATTTTATAATGGTTTTAAATTTGTGTCAAATGTTCACATCAGCAATGCTTCTGATGTTTATGATTGACAAATCATTGCTGCTTAATAATTTATTAAAGCAGTTAACATGGTTATGTCCCTTGGAAATATCAATTCTATGAAAAATAAGAGCTCATGATTTCTTGTCGGCCTATAAATTTTTATCTAAGGTTTGTATCAGCAATGTTTCAGACAAGTTCCAAAACTCAGTCCTTATAATTTATTTTTTACGAGGATTTGCATGCCTGTTAATTAATAACTTTAATCTTATAAGAAAGAAAAAAATATTTAGAAAAATGCCAATTTTTGTAAGCTTTTTTTAGAAGCCAACAAATCTTTAATTTCTTTTAAGAACTTTTCAAATTCTACGTACATAAAAGTTTATCTTAGCAAGGTCGTGAATGAATTTGGTAATCATCATTGATAAATCAACTGTAAACTGGCGTTATGCCTCTTGGATATGAATATTGAAGTACAGTTTTCATGAGAGAGTGCAAAATTTTTTTCATTTTCTGATGTCCTTTTACAAATATCTGTTGGTTTTTATGTTTTGAAGGAATAAGATAGCTATAGTAGAATAAAAAATTCGTAAGGGTTCCGCGGAACCTAGTGTCTCGCCTACTTCTGCTGTTTATCACAGGCTCAACAAAAATGAGGAAAAAAATTAATAAAAATATTCCTCTCTATACTATCTTTTGATTGTAAGTAGCTTCTGTCCAAGTTTGGTAAAAATCCAGGATAGTTTATGAATCTAATAAATGTTTTAAATAAAAACTTAAACTGTTATGTAATGTTAACTGGAAGAAAAACTAAGTCCATTTATAAGTAAAATACGGAAAAAATGGAAAAATATTTTAACAAAATTTCCATTTAGATACTAGCTTTTAATCATAAACAAGCTTCTGTCCAAGTTTGGTACAAATCCAGGATAGTTTAAGAAAGTTGTTAAAATTTTAAAAACTTTAACCACAGAGTGAATGTAATGTTAACTGGCAGAAAAACTAGGTCCATTTACAAGTAAAATACGGAAAAAATGGAATTTTTTTTTTACAAAATTTACTTCTGGATACTATCTTATGATCACAAACAAGCTTCTTTCCAAGTTTGGTACAAATCCAGGATAGTTTAAGAAAGTTATTAAAATTTCAAAAACTTTAACCACAGAGTGAATGTAATGTTTCCTGGCAGAAAAACTAAGTCCATTTATAAGTAAAATACGGAAAAAATGGAATTTTTTTTTAACAAAATTTACTTCTGGATACTATTTTATGATCACAAACAAGCTTCTGTCCAAGTTTGGTACAAATCCAGGATAGTTTAAGAAAGTTATTAAAATTTCAAAAACTTTAACCACAGAGTGAATGTAATGTTTCCTGGCAGAAAAACTAAGTCCATTTATAAGTAAAATACGGAAAAAATGGATTTTTTTTTTTACAAAATTTACTTTTGAATATTATCTTATGATCATAAACAAGCTTCTGTCCAAGTTTGGTAGAAATCCAGGATAGTTTAAGAAAGTTATTAAAATTTCAAAAACTTTAACCACAGAGTGAATATTTGTGGACGCCGCCGACGACGACGACGGAATGTAGGATCGCTATGTCTCGCTTTTTCGACAAAAGTCGAAGGCTCGACAAAAAGGATAAGGGGTATCCATCCTTGTCACAAAATCAGTGCATGCACAGCAAAAAACACACAAAAAGCAACATAACAACCATTTTATTGCTTATCTTCATCTCAAAGTCATAGTATGTATGTCAAATTGATTGAAAGTCAAAGAAACCAAAATTTGGATATGTTTAGAATTTGAAAATTATTTATCCCTTAACGTAACACATGAAGGTTTATATATTTTTTTTTAGATAATTGAATAAACTAGCTACACTGTACATGTAGGTGAAAAATATAGACAGTCAAGGGTTCTACTTGTACAAGTAATTTTTACTGACTTGAAGAAGTAAATATTAATATACTTATATAAGTAAATTTGTACATTGGACTCAGAGTTCTTTTAAGCTGAGTTTTACTGTACATATTGCTGTGTGTTTCTTTATTCTACATTGGCTAGAGGTATAGGGGAGGGTTGAGATCTCACAAAACATGTTTAACCCTGCCACATTTTTGCACCTGTCCAAAGTCAAGAGCCAGGCTTCTGACCTTTGTTAGTCTTGTATGTTTTTTTATTTTAGTTCATTTATATGTTTTGGAGGTTAGTATGACGTCCATTTTCACTGAACTAGTATATATTTTTATTTAGGGGGCAGCTGAGGGGCACCTCTTTGGGCCGGATTTTCTCACTGCGTTGAAGACCCATTGGTGGTCTTCATCTGTTTTTTGCATTTTGGGTCTGGTTGTTGTCTCTTTGACATATTTCCCATTTCCATTCTCAATTAATTATTATACCATGTACTGGTATAATATCTTCTTTTCTTGAATTTCTCAGCACTTCTTTGCTCTAATAGAATTTTTAATCATCTGTCCTTTGCAGATGTCTTTACTAATCATTTAAGTATAATTTCATGGACAATAAAATTCTCACTGACTGACTGATGGAATAAAAACTTAATGTTTTTAAAAGCTCGATGTATAATTGCAGGATAAAAACAACATTTGTACAGAAGGAAAAAACTAAATTTTATTTCCTATATATATATAAACAAAACACGATAAAAGCTTGGTGAGAAGAACACAGTTCATTGATGATTATGAACATCATATACCTGTACATGAAAAAACCTTAATATCTTCACAATTATCTTACCAACATGCTAGGAGAAGTCCTTGTCATGCATGAAATATTTGCCACTGGACTTTAAGCAACCAACAATCAATTAATGCTAGGAGTGCTTTCAAAAATTTTTGTAATCTTATATCTATATTTTCAGGAAGTACTCGACTTTTTCATGGGAATGCAGATATAACATTGTTTCCAACAACCGAGGACATGTTTTTGGATTCTCAAACAGATGCAGCTGTGTTTCATATTGGAGAGCCAGAAGAAAGTCCTGATGCAAACAGATTACACCCAAAATGGAATACTGTTGATTATGATGATAATGATGAAGAAGAAAAGATTTGTGATGCAAACAATAGTGAAAACTTCAATGATTCAGACATTAATCAAGTGTGTAAACAAGCCATCTCTTTAACAATGTGGAAACATAAACAAAGGATCTTGGCCTACAGTGGAAACAAGGATTATGGTTCGTCAATGGTTCCTATCTGTGGTATTAATAGACACAAATATATGGTGGTTCTGTATAATGCTCAGCATGATTATCTATTAAAAATGCAAAAGAAAGACTTTTTAAAAGTTTTCGACAAGGATAAACTAGAGTTTTCTACAATTATTAATCTTTGGATGTTAATCCATCATAACTTATTTTGCACAGAACCGTCTGATAATGCCATCCAAATCCTTAAAGGCGCTGGGGGCCTTCTACAAAGATTAGGAGAAGACACATTTAAAGAAGTTGTTATAACTTCCAAATTTTATTATGATACAGAACCCAGTGGAGATGAGTTTGAGGTAGACATGGAGAATGATTCGATTCCTGCTTCAGGGTAAGTTGCCCCTCAATGACATATTTTGACTGAAATGTAAAAAGTTCAAACATGCTGTATAAACTAACAAAAGATTACCAAGTGTATAATTTGGAACGTAAGACCCATGTTTGGTTTACATGAGACTCATTATAATTAGTAGCACTTGAATTGCAACAGTACAGTACAACCTGTGACTTCCTCTTTGTTATGTTCACCCTCTTGTATGATCACCATCGAATAGTGGCCATTTATTGGGGTATTCAATCTTGAGATGTTGGCCATTTATAGGGGTCATAAAACATAGGTTGATGTTTTATCTAATTATGTTACCTGTTGAAATCAATCAGGGTTGAAGTTTTCAGCTTGTATGTTTCATTAAAATTTACCTGTACAGGTAACTCAAGTTTCCTCTCAAATTTACATTTCACCTTTTCTTGAAAATGTAGAATCGAATGTTTGTTTTAGTCTTTGTTAATTCATATCATTTGTTGATTTTTCTGTCTTTAAAAATTTACATATTTTCCTTTTTTCCTAATGTTTTTATTTTTTTATGTTATTATTATCTTTGATTTGTTTTTTTTTGCTTCTTATTCTTTTAATTTCTTCTTGGAAAGAATCGAGTAGAAATGACAAAAATTCAAAGATAAATTATTGACTAGCATTTGAAAACAAAAGAGAGTATCCTTTAAATAATTATTTTTTCAGTAAAAAAAAAGTTATTGTACATGATGTACATGGTATTCTATTGTTCGTTTGCATTATTAAATGAATTATTATTAATTATAACTTATAAATGCAAATGATATGTTTAAAGGAACCATGAAGCAAGTAATTTAACAAGCCAGTTTATTCACAAATTAAAATTATCAATATCATGAATATCAATCCTTTTACAATAAATTTTGTTAACAAAGTTGTACAATCTATTATCATGATTATTATTCAGGAAAACTACAAATATCATTATATGGTATAGGAATAAACTAGTTTTGTTTATCTTTGATACTTTTCAAATCTTAAAACGAGTTTTGCATGAAGAATCACTAAATAGACTTACAAAGAAATTATTTAAAGAAAAAAATTGTCTTGCTTTTTGAAACAATTGTAAACTTATCAAATATGTTATCTTCAGTTTGGCTAATTTTGTCAGTTAACAGGCAAAATTTGTCTCCAGAAAAAATAAAGTACACTTCTATTTAGATTGTGACATTTTTATGGTCAATTAATTAAATCACTTTTTGTTCTGTGTATTATATTGTCGAAACTGCAGGACTGGCATATGCATGATACTTATTCTTGGTATACATTTGCAAAGAATATTTCACTCAACTCAGGCCTTTTAGATAAAGTTAATAATTGCAGGGACTTGAATGCTTGATTAAAAATTAAAAATGAATTTAAAAAAAAAAATCAGAATATTTTTGAAAATAAAATAAAAACTTATGATGAAAACAGTACACTCAAATGCTTCACTAAGTAAAGAATAAGTGGTCATAATTTAGAAATAGAAAATGGTGAATAAAAATTCCTATAAAGGATAGAATTGTTTGTGAAATTAATATAACAACTTAGAGATAATCTATTTGAAAATTGTTTACCTTCACATAACTCTGACCAGTTTATGAATAAAATCTTGAATCTTATGAATAAAATCTTAACCAATAACAAAAAGTAAAAGAAATGCTAAACCTCTATAACATGGAACATGTTTAAAATACTGGCTCCTTTATAAAAGAAAGTCATTTGAACTGAGGGCAGAAACCTAATAACTTTTTTCCATGTGTTTTGATTTCTTATTGAATTGTTATTTCTTTGCATTATAATGTTTGTTTTGGTTTTTTTTGTCAGAAACTTGATTAAATTGTAATATGTTTATATGACAATAAAAAAATTATCAATTTTTTCTGTAATGAACATGATGAATATTTTGAATATACATGTATTTATTCAATAGAGTAATAATGAATTGCCTACATTTTATTTAGAATAAGTCCTAAAGATAATCTTAAACATTTGTTAAACAATGTTAAATGCAGTAAGTATAAACAGAGACATATATACACAGAGATTGGCAACTCCGTGAAATCCCGTTAAAAAACGCGGCCCGGAATGAGATTCTCGTCGATAATTATTCTACAACATGTAGACAAGTCAGGGATGAATAACCTCGATAGCTAATCAAGAAAAGTAATAGGAAAACTTATTTCAGATCAAATAAATTCTTTTTCTAAAAAACTACTTGAAATAATATATTATATAATAATATTTTTTTAATGTATTTGATTGAGAAAATATTTTTTTCTTTTTTTCGGCATTTCTTTTAATTTAAAAAGTAAAATCTGGTAATGATCATGATATTACAAGAAACATTTCTTTGCTAAAGTTTGCTTCTAAATTACACAGTGAAATTATGTGTGTCCGATTTTCCGGTCATTATTTCCTTAGAGTTGTGACTGTGGATTCACAGGTGTGCGATTACGCAAATTTATTGCCCTCCGATCACCTGAATTTTGCCGGAGGTGAAGTTCTAAGTGGATTGTTACTTGGTAATTGTTTTTACAACTAAACAAATTCTGACATTATTTTAACCATGACCAGAACTTTATTTTAACAGAAACACTGGGCTATACTATGAATAGGGTAAACGGACAGAAAGTCACAGCTAGGACATAAAGTCACAAATTGGATAGGACAAAAAGTCACAAATAATGTATTGACAATTGTTTGATTATATAAGAGAAAGATCTTCAAATAATATATTTTTTTACATTTATTCATTTTTAAGTTCAGGAAATTGTTCATAAGCCTTGATAAATGAAAAATTATTAAATTTTAATCATGCAAATAATATATTTCTTGGCACCATGAAACCATTTAAGTGCCAAACCACTTTGACATTTTGTTATCATAACAATTATTTGATCATCATTGATATTTATTGAATAAATTTTTAATTACAAAGTTGCTTCATATATTATAGTTCAATAAAAAATCAAAAAATTATTTTTAAAATTAGTGTTTTCTTGTTCAGAGAAAAATAATCTCAAAACTGAATTGTGACTTTTCGTCTGTGACTTTTTGTCCTGTGACTTACTGTCCTACATTCTACTATAGTATTCAATCAGGAACAAAAATAGTCATTTAACATGTCAAAAAAAAAAGAAATCAGAAAGCAACTTTTGTATATAAAAAAAATATGTTGCCAGTAGAATTTTGTCTCGTGGAAAACGGATTCAAATGATTACTTTTTGATTGACCTACAATTACATTATTTGTGGAACCTTTGCATGAATTTCCTAAATGAACGTACATTATGTACAGTGTTGTCGAAATCACTATTTTTGCTGTCATGAAATATTGAATATGAATCTGTCATTATTTGTAGTTTTTTATAGACTTAATATCACAGACCCTGATTAAAAACAACGTGTATCATAAGTGCAGTAAAATGCTCTGCTGAACTGTAGAATTTTAATGTTCTGTTTCATAGACCACAGAAGTACTGCAACATCCTTATCTTTACTCTTTCCTATCGGGTAGTGAAACTCGAGTTTGAAATTAGAAAGATTTAAAATTGAAGACAAGTTTTATCTGATCTTTTGTGGGTTTATGTTTCGGTGCAGTGCTATGTGGGCTGTTATTTTCTTTTCATTTGTCATTTTTTTATCTGTGTTACACGACCTTGTACTTTTTGTATTGCCCCTTGACATCTCCTGCTTCTGTTTGAACCTTTACCACTAATATCTCATCTGGTTTAAATAAAATAGTGTCTCATTCCCGGAATTTGTTATACAGGAATTCATTGCAATATCAGTTTTTTTATAAGCATATATACTGCTTGGTCTCTTCACACAATTTATGTTTAGGACGAAATGCATCAATAGGTACATACATGTACCAGGTCACCAATATATAAGTACACGTTATGTGCTTTTGACCTCCACAAGAATTCTTAAACATTCATAGATGTGCAAAGAATATTTTTGTCGTTGGGTTGTTGTCTCATTGACATATACCTCACATTTCTGAATAGTCATAGCAGCTGTGCCTTTTCAATTTATTGCAGAAAATATTTGCATTAACATTTTTCAAAATAGGCGAGTTGAAACAGTGATCACAGAATGAGGACATGTAAAACTGAAACAACACAACACAACAGATAAATATAAACAAGCACCATTGCTAAAGGACTGAAACAAACATAGATGATGACTAATATGAGCGACTAGTAGTGTACAAGTAGAGTAAACATTTCTTGCTTCTTATTCTACACATTTTGTCATTTCATGTAAACAATTAAATATGTTATTTTCCAGAGGAGAGGAAGGAATTTGTGAAACGAAATATTTTGCCTTTAGTACTGTCAAGTTATATATTCACAGGAGTGTTGTTGAATAAATGAACATTTTCCCTTTTTTACATTATGCTACCTTTATGCTACAAAGGTAGCATTTCCATTCTCATGATATACAAAGATATTATAGAGTGGCCTTCCAATGATAGTCATACATGTAAATCATTGTCTCATTGGCAATCATACTACATCATCATATTGTTATACATGTATGTAAAAATTATGTACATGTATACTTTGTAAACGTAAAGAAGACAAATGAAGTTGAACACAAGATATTTATTTTCATTTTTATCCGTATAGTCTCTGCACAACTGCCACTTCTGTTTCAAATTCAATAGATTGAATGCAGAGTCTTGTATTTATTCTTAGTTCAATGATGTCACCATCACTTGCACAAAAATCGCATACACATGTACATCAAGTTTGGCATATGAACTATGATATTTGAACTACAATAATGTGGTGTTTTCACAGTCAGGATAAGCACATGTCATTTTCTCTCTTACAAAACCATTTTTTAGTATCACATTGATAGTAGTACATGTAATCGGTCCACTACATGACTGTGCAGTAACATTTGAAAAAAGTCATCACTAATAGTTGTTCTTGTCTGCCAGGGAATCTTTTTTTTTCAATCAGAAAGGCTAGGGAGTCCTACATT